ATCTATGATGGCTGGGGGTTAGGGACAGGGGAAAGGAAAATTATTCATGGACTAGAGGGTGGACATACGTTAACATGGGTGACAGGGTAGACAATATACAAGAGGGAGGTTAGCAAAGGAAAGATGAAGGTAGCAGAAGACACAGGGAGGAATGCAACTTTAAAGTGAATAGAAGTAAATATTGTTAACTGTTGGTATAAGGAAGGGATTGCAATCATTATAATAAAACAAAGTATATGATTTGTTGAATCTAAAACTGATGATCTGCTCTGTAAAACTTCACTCAATTCACAACAAAAAGTTAAAAAAAAAAAAAAAAAAGGTTTAGCAAGACCTGTGCTTTAGTCTCCAGTGTAAATTATAGCTGTTTTTAGTTCACATAATTGTTGCAGTTACATGCTTTGCTATCCTTACTACTTCCAAATTTCAAAAGTTATTAACTTTGTTGCGATTTAACACATTATTCAATTGTTAAATTAAGAAAAGCTGTGTAGAATTTATAATTAATCTTTTTTATTTAAAAATATTTTTATAACTTTATTGCAATATAATTGGTTCCTCTGAGTTGTTATTTTGTGTGGTTAAGTCCCCTCCCATAAGGTTTTCTAGATTGTAACTTCTATAGGAGTCCTGATGTGGCGCTGAGGGTTAATGTGCCAGTCTGCAAAGCCGTTTGAACTTCAAGGTCGGGGGTTCAGGTTAACCAGCTGCTCCTCGGAAACAACCCTCTACAGGGTCGCTATGGGTCGGAATTGACTCGATGGCACTTAACAACAACAACAATCTTTATAGGAGCAGATTGCCAGGTCTTTTCTCCCATGGATCCACTGACTTTCGGTTAGTGGCCGAGCATTTAACCATTATGCCACTATAGCACCTGTTTGGTTTCTCTGTAATACTGTGGATTTCATTTGATATATTAAAAAGCATTCTGAGAAGTGGTCCATGGCACACAAAAGGTTAAGTCCTCTGGCTCCAGGTTCCAGTGCTGCCATCTAGTGTCCTCTCTGGGCCTTATTTTATTGTTAGCTGCGCGGGGAGGAGACGGTAACCAACAAAGTGCTGGCGCTGCTCAGTCCGGCCCAACCCCATGATCAGGTGTGCGACGGATCAATGATCGGCTTTCGCAGGCTAACTTTCAGAAGCAGACGATAGACCTTTAATTCTAGTCCAGCTTAATCCGAAGCGCCACTCACTGTTTTGCAAGCCTCCACTACGGGATGGATGGACGGTGACTACCTATAAAATGTTTTGGTTGGGAATCTAACCCCGTCTTCCTCATCATAGGTGAGAAGTCTACCACTGGACCACCATTGTCCCCAGGTATATTTGAGTCATCTGAGAGCCGAAATGGCCTCATGGATATAAAACACTTAGAACAGAACTTGCCTAAAGCACACCAGGTGTTAATACAATGTTGGTTGACACTGCCCCCTGCCGACGCTAATAACCAGCCAGCACCAGTGTGACTGGGTGGACGTGTCTCTTGGGTGTGCCTACATCCAGAAGGATTGAGTCTAGGATGTCGTTAGACTGGCAGAACCGAAATTCGGGAAGAATAGAAATTTGGGGCCAGGTCAGAAAAATCCCCATTGCCCTTCCTCACTCTCCACTTCCATCAAAAGGAGAGATCTTTTTTCTAGTACTTCTAACACAACCTGAGCCAATGGAGCAGAAAGCTTCAAAGCAATCCTGATATGGGAATTACTTGGTAGGAGCTCTGGTGGTGCTTGTAGGGTAAGCACTGACCTGCTAATCACAAGGTCTGCAGTGCAAACCCACGATCAACTCCAAGGGAGAAATATGAGATTTTCTGCTCCCCAAAAGATGTAAAGCCTTGAAAACCCTATTGTTGTTGTTGCTGTTAGGTGCCATCGAGTCGGTACCGACTCATAGCGACCTTATGCACAGCAGAACGAACCACTGACGGATCCTGGGCCAACCTCATTACTGTTGTCACGCTTGAGTCCATCGATGCTGCCACTTGGTCAATCCATCTTGTTGGGGGGGTCTTCCTCTATGAGTGGGAATCAACAACGGCAGAGTTTATTTTTCTGACTTGGTATTCCTGGATCTTGTCTGATCTTGGAAGTAAGTAGGATCTGTCCTGGTTAGTAGTTGAATGGGAAAAGACCTAAAAATACCAGCTGCTGAGGAGTTGGGGTCCTGTTGTGGCCTGTAGGATGAACACTGGACTGCAAGGACGGTGGTTCAAACCCACCAGCCAGCCGGTCCTTGGAAACTCTATACAGGGTCGTTTTGAGTTGAACCGACTGGATGACATTTAACAACAACAACACAATTAAGTGGAAGGGGAAGTGTCAGTTTCGTTCTGCCCCCACCCAGTGTCCCTCCCCTTCCCCCCCCTCCCCCCAGCTTCCTCAAGGCCCTTTTCCCAATTATCCAACAGAAGCTGCCTCCTCCGGAGAGATTTCCTGGCCATACCCCAAGGGTGGGTTCTGGGAGGAGGGGGTCACGGTTCTCCCACCCCCACCACGCATCGCACTGGATTGTGGGGGTCCTCACTTGCAGGGGCGCTCTTTGTGACCGGGATCCCGTCCTAGCCCTGGACTCACTGCTCCCCAGATCCTGGTCAGCGCTCCAGCTCACCAACCCCCACCCCCTAAATTCTGGAAGTGGTCTCCCCACTCTCAGCCGCTCTTTTCCTCATCTCTCCCAACATCTCCCACGATAAGATGGGAAAAGATTCCCACTTCTTCTCAACCGCCGCCTAGCCGGGCCTCTCACCTACTGCGCACTTCCGCACCAGTCCCAGCAGAAGCAGCAGCTGTAGCGGCGATCGGACGTGCGCGCTCCGGGGGCTTTGCGGACCCCGGATGACCAGCTTCACGCGCTGCTCCAGTTTGACAGTCCTTAGCTGTAGGGCCAGTGGACCAAAGCCATCCTCTGTAGGGCTTGCGGCTGGAAGGGCTCTTAGACTGCGAAGGGGCCTTCCCTACTCGAGCTCTCTAGCGCCTCCGGTGTCCGCCTGAGTTGCTGCCCCAGGCCCAGTAGGATGTGCAGTGGCCTGTCCCAGAGATCCTGGAGTAGTCCTACAACCAGTATCCCTTCTCTCCGGAGCCCCTTTGGGAGTAGAAAGCAGAGGAACTATAAAAGGAAACCAATTATGTTGAAAACTGTGAAATGTAGCATCGTTAATTGCTAGGCGCCTTCCAGCTGATTCTGACTCATAGTGACTCCTATGTACAACAGAATGAAACACTTCTGGGTCTTGCATCATCCTCACAATTGTTACATTTGAGCCAATTGTTGCTGCCACTGTGGCAGTTTATCTCATTGAGGTCTTCGTCTTTTTCACTGACTATCCCCTTTACTGAGCATAATGTCCTTCTCCAGGGACTGGTTCTTCCTGACAACATGTCCGACAGATGAACTGTGACAGGTGAAGTCACCATCCTTACTTCTTAGGAGCATTCTAGCTGTATTTCTTCCAAGATAGATTTGTTTGTTCTTCTGACAGTCATGGTACTTTCAATATTCTTCGCCAACATCATAATTCAAACGCATCTATTCTACAGTTTTCCTTATTTATTGTCTAAATTTCACATACATATGAGGGATTGAAAATACCATGGCTTGGGTCAGGTGCAGTTTAGTCCTTATACTGACATCTTTGATCTTTAACAACTTAAAGAAGTCTTTAGCAGCATATTTGCCTAACGCAATATGCCTTTGATTTCTTTACTGTTACTTCCATGAGTGTTGATTATAGATCCAAGCAAAATGAAGTCTTTGAAACTTTCAAGATTTTCTTCATTTATCATGATATCTATTGGTCCAGTTGTGAAGATTTGTGTTTTCTTTACATTGAGATACACCTCATACTGAAAGCTGTAGTCATTAATCATCAGTACGAATTTCAAGTTCCTGACAGTTTCAGCAGAAGTCCTGGTTTGATGCTGTATGATAAGCACTGAATTGCTAACTATAAGGTTGGTGGTTCAAACTCACCAGATGCCCCTCAGAAACCCTCTACAGGGTCACTGTGAGTCTGAAGTAACTGGATGGCACTTAACAACAACAGCAGCAGCAGCAGCAGCAGCAGCAATCTCAGCAAGCAAGGTTATGTCAGTTGCATATTGCAAATTGTTAATGACTCTTCCTCCAATCCTGATGCCGCATTTTTCTTCATATAATCCAGCTACTCAAATTACTTGCTCAGCGTACAGATTGAATAAGTATGGTGAAAGGATACAACTCTTGCACACACTTTTCCTGATTTTAAACCATTCAGTATCCCCTCATTTTGTTTGCCTCTAGGTCTATGTACAGGTTCCTCATGGGCACAATTAAGCGTTCTGAATACCCATTCGTTGCAATATTATCCATAGATCCACACAGATGAATGCCTTTGCATAGTCCATAAAGCACAAATAAACAGCTTTCAGTCAATAACCATCTGTCATCAGCAATGACATTATTAGTTCTACATATTTTTCTGAATCCAGCTTGAATTTCTGGTAACTCCCTGTTGATGCTGTTCTGTAATCAAATGTGAATTATCTTTAGCAAAATTTTGCTTGTATGTGATAAAACTAATATTGTTCAATGATTTCTGCATTCTGTTGGGTCACCTTTCTTTGGAATGGACACAAATCTGTATCTCTTCCAATTGGTTGGCCAGGGAGCTGTCTTCCAAAATTTTTGGCATAGATGAATGAGTGCCTCCAGTGCTTCATCAGATTGTTGAAATACTTCAGTTTATATTCTGTTCGTTCCTGGAGTCTTGTTTTTCACCATTGTCTTTAGTGCAGCTTGGATTTCTTCCTTCAATACTATCAGTTCTTGATCATATGCTACTTCTTGAAATGGTTGCATATTGACCCGTTCTGTGTATCTGCCATCTTCTTTTGATGTTTCCTGAGTTACATATTTTGCCCATGTTGTTATTGTTGTATATGGTTTCTAAAGAGCAGCTGGTGGATTTGAACTGCATACCTTGTGGTGCGCAGTCAAGTGCTGATCCTACAGTGCCACATCAGGAGTCCATTTTGCCCACAGAATCCTTCAATATTGGAAGTTGAGGCTTGAATTTTTCCTTCAGTTCTTTCAACTTGAGAAATACTGAACAAGTTCTTCCCTTTTGGTTTTCTAATGTCAGGCCTCTGCACATTTCATTATAATACATTGTCTTCTTCAGCTGCCCTTCAAAATTTTCTGTTCAGTTCTTTTCAATCTTTATTTCAGTTGCTTTAGCTTCTCTATATCTGAAAGCAGGCTTCAGAGTCTCTTCTGACATCCATTTTGGTCTATTCTTTCTTTCTTGTCTTTTTAATGACCGTTGGCTTTCTTCATATATGTTCTTGCTGTTCATCCCATAACTCCTCTGGTTTTTGGTCGTTACTCCCTAATGCATCAGATCTGTTCTTAAGATGGTCACTTAAGGTGGGATATATTCAAAGTCACATATTTTGGCTCTCCTAGGGTGTTTTTTTAATTTTCTCCAGGATCATCCTGAACTTGCATATGAGTGATTGAAGATTGGTTCCACAGCCTGCCCTGGCCTTGTTTTGGCTGATGATAGTCAGTTCTCCATCTTCTCGTCCCACAGATGTAGTAGTCAATCTGGTGAGGTCCACGTGCATAGTTGTTGTTGTTGTTGTTGTTGTTGTTTTTAATAAATGTTTTATTGTGAATTGTGTGATAGTCTACATGGGAGAACATTAGTTTTACATTCATTCTATCATCTATCGTTTCATTGGCATAGTTACCATCCCATTCATGCATCCTCACCCAACCAAAGGGTGAACCCTGTAAGCCTGCACACACACCCCCCACCACAGTCCTCAGCCCCTTTCCCTCTCTGGATCCCAAGTCCCCAGCCACACCATCTTTTGACATTGTCTTCTCTGTCTCCATATCAGGCCTCACTGCTTCTCTGGGTAGGATCCCGCTCTCCCACTTTCTCCATTGATGGTCCTAGGGTCCTCCACTCCTAGACTGAAAAGTTAATCACTCCCCTCCTTGCTACAAAGTGTCCACCTTTAGATTTCCAACCCTCACAACAATCCTGATAACAATTATTCACTATTGCATCACAAGAGACCCATCTGTATTTCATTTCATCAGCCCTTCCTGGACAGGCTGGATACTATTCACTGGAGACTCTACCTTCCTCCACACCCTTTGGATCTAGGTTCCCTCTTGAAAGCTTGTAAGCCAGTCACTTCTTACCTTTGTATCCCTCCCCCCATTTTGGGTAGCCAACATAGTTGCTTTTTATGTTGTTGAAAGAAGGTATTTGCAATGAATAAGTCATTGGTTTTACAAAATAATATCATGCAATCTCTAGCATCATTTCTATCACCAAGGCCATATGTTCTAACTATTATTCCTTCTTCCTCATTGCCAACGTTCACATTCCAATCACCAGTGATTATCAATGTATCTTGATTGCATGTTTGATCAATTTCAGATTGAAGAAGTTGGTAGCATTCTTCAATTTCCTCATCACTAGTCCTGGTGTGGCACTGAAGTGCTGGTGTGGAGCTGTAAGATTAGCACTGGACTATTAACTGGTGTGGTGCTGTGTGTTAATGCACTGGACTGAAAAGTTGGTTTGAGTGGCAAGGTTGGCAGTTCAAGCTCACCAGCTGCTCCTTGGAAACTCTATACAGGATTGCTATGGGTCCAAACCGACTCAACGGCACTTAACAATTAACTGGATGGTTTGCACTTCAAACCAACCAGTCACTCCTTAGAAACCCTATTAATTGGAAACAGTTGAGAAGACTTTGATGGTTGAGATGATCAGGGTGGGGCATGTTGGCTACCCACAGGAGTCTCAATGATTCTCTATGAGTTGGAAGTAACTTTAAGGCATTTGACAACAAGCTTAGTGGTTGGTGTGTAAATTAGAATAATAGTGATATTAACTGGTTTTCCTTGGAGATGTATGGACATTATTCTAGCACAGACAACATTGTACTTCAAGGTAGATCTTGAAATGCTCTTTTTGATGATGGATTTGGTGCCATTCCTCTTCAATTTGTATTTCCTGGCATAATAAACCATGTGCTTGTCTAATGCAAAATGACCAATATATGCCCATTTCAACTCACTAATGCCTAGAAAGGGGAAGAAAAATGAGACTTTCTGCTCCCATAAAGATTTATAACCTCAGAAACCCTTTATGAGTTGGAATCAACTCAATGGTATACATCAACAACAATAACAAATAATGCCCAGGAGATTGATCTTTATGAGCTCCTTTTCACTTTTGACAACTTCCAATTTTTCTAAATTCATACTTTGTACATTCCGCATTCTGGTGTTTAATGGATATTTGTAGCTGTTTCGTCTCGTTTTGAGTGTCCCCCATTGGCAATTGAAGGATCCCAAAACATTGCTGCATCCACATAATTAAGGTCAACTCTACTTTGAAAAGGCAGTTGTATTTTGAATGCCTTCTGTTAGAGTCTGATAACTTGACTTCTGCAGGTCTAGCAAGACCCACTGAGGTTGGTGCAAACAGCACACACAGACAAAAAGCAACAAGTAGCAAGCAGGGTTTATAAAATTATGAATAGTACACTTCTCAGAAGAGGAGAAGTGGACATCTGTCTCGCGAGTGAGAGAGAGCCCCGGCTTTCTGTTCTTTCTCCTTCTTTATAAGGTTTTTCGCTCATTTCCCTGAAATTTAATTCTGATTGGTGGCAGGGTCTAGGTGGCACATAGTCTTGGTTTGCACTTTTTGATGGTCTGAAACTGCTCTATTGCTAAGAGATGTGCTGGGCTCAATTTCTTGGAATTGTTAATTCAAGTGCCAGATGTTGGGGTGCAGCCAGGCTGACTGTTAGGTTCTTACTTTGTCCTTAGCACCTTCCAACTGGCTCATTTTCTGGCACTATTTTCAGA